AAATAAATAAATAAATAAATAAATAAATAAATAAATAAATAAATAAATAAATAAGTGATAATAGCTCACACCAGCTACACCTGATGAACATGTTTGCAGCAGACTGCAGGTAAAAATAATTTGTAAAAAAAAGCTTGCTGTTTAAATGGATGTGGAGCTGTTTGGCACTGTTTTGGCTCTTGACAGATACATTTTGTCTGGAGGCATTATAGTAATACAGTAGTAGTTTTATCTGTACTTTCTATATCATACATTGCTTCAACACCTAATTAGGTAAAAATAATAATAATTAGGAAAGATTTGAATTAGCTACAGTCAGAAAACAAAAGTGTCCAGGTAAAGAAAGCCAAAGAAACAAATAAGTTTTAACATCATCTTATATTTCCCCCTCTGCTCCAACAGTCGTTTGCTCACTCGTGTGAAATTATTTGGGATCATTATCAATATCTACGATGCAACACAACATTTGTCATTATTTAAAATCTGGTTTATAACCTATTGAGTTATCTGCATGCCAGTGAGGTGTTATTTAAAAGCTCCGCTGCAGTGCAATAATTGGCTACATTATTCCTTTTTTCCAAGCATAACTGTAAACCACGAGCTGCAGTATATTTAGAGCATTATGACTTTGCATCTATACATTTTTATTTTACCTGCTCTTTGGGTTGTGGGAATGCTTTTGTCATTTTTCCAGCAGTTGTTATGTGAAAGATGGGGTACACCCTGGACAGGTTTGCAAGTTCATAACAGGGCAACACAAAGACAATTGAGCCAATCATCCACACTCTCAGTCACATTTAGGGACAATTTGGAGTTCCCAAGTATGTATGCTTTTGGTAACCAGAGTACACACACATGCACAGGGTGAACATGCAAACACCACACTGCAAGCCTGGAGGTGAACTTGTGATGTTGTTGTTATGTGACAGTGTTTCGCCGTCCCACCTTCATAACACAAAAGCATAATTATTGTATGACAACAATGCTAAATGTGCTTTTTGGACTTGGTTATTTCATACAACTGGAATACTAAAAACCCTGTGGTTACATAATACGTGGTCATTTTCAAGTTGTATCGTCAGATTGAAAATGAGTTGTCAGTTTCCAGTAACACATTAAAATACATTTTTTTAAGTTCTCTCTGTGTGTCTATGTTTTTTTTTCTTTGTTTACTTGCTTGCTTTTATAGTTTTATATTTAATTTCAGAACGGATCCTCAGTTTTAAACCCCATTTGATGTTAAAACAAAATCAAGATGTTCCAGACTTTCCGTGTATTGTGTCCTAAAAATATATATCTGAAACTAGATTATATAAATTAAATGGTTTTGCCACTGTCTGAAAAAAATGCAATAAATCCAATAAATGCATGTGATGAACGTGACTGTTTCAAAAAGCATTACTGTCCTGGGTTTGCAAGAGGAAAACGGATCAATTTGTAATTTACTGAACATGCATGAATGTCATCAGAAAAAAAACACAGCTGGTGAGCCTGTTTTGTTGAAATAACCACGAGACTTGTAATTATTTATTCACTAATTATTGACAACTTTGTGGCACACAAAGTACTTCATAAACACAGAGCTACTGATTAAAATATTTACAGATTTTTTTTTCTTTTTGCCTGACTGGAGTTTATCATTGCGGCTCAGTGGATATTGGCTGAGGTGTTGTCTATTGCTTTGTGCTATGGTTTTGTATATTATATTCAAAACCCTAATTGTTTTGTTAAGATGCAGTGTTACAATTGTTTTCACCAAATATTTTAGTCACTTTCCCTCTGTTTGTGTTGGAAGTGTTGCTTCAATCTGCTGTGTTCTGTGGTTTAGCAACTGTTCTGGGATGTACATGAGTTTGGAGTTGTAAGTTTCCGCCATTCCTGGACCTGGTAAAAATGAGATAAGCTGTAAGAATAGCTTGAGGGGCTCTAAGTGGTGCATGCCAGTGGGCACAGGAGGAACTAATAACCTTGTCTACTCATAGGTTGTGAAAATATTGTTCGTATGAAAATGAAACAAGTCCATTTGAATAAAAAAATCTGTAACTTTTTCGTGAATTATTTAGACTATAACAAGTGATTGATTGATTGATTGATTGATTGATTGATTGATTTATTTATTTAGTGGGGGGTGGTTCTTGGCTTGGAAATAAGAAATGGGGAATTTGAGAGAAATATTTTGGCTACCACTGGTCTAAGACCCCATCAAGACTTAGTTTTATGAGTATAATGTGAGCTGCAAATAAAGCTTAGGATCTGGACATTAGGTTTAGTAATTAAATATAAAGTAAGTTATTAAATTAGATTTAGGAATGTGTTTAACAATAAGAGAAAAACAAAATAAATTGTTTCTAATACTTTCTAAAGATTTTAAAATGTTCTTTTAAGTATTTATATGGTGAGACTAGGCACTGTAGCATGTTCATTAGTAAATGTTGACAAATTGTGTTTAGTATTTATGGGTATATTTAGAATAGTAAAAAAATGCATACAGGTGCTGGTCATAAAATTAGAATATCATGAAAAAGTAGATTTATTTCAGTAATTCCATTTAAAAAGTGAAACTTGTATATTATATTCATACATTACATACAAACTCATATATTTCAAATGTTTATTTCGTTTAATTTTGATGATTACAAATGACAACAAATGAAAATCTCAAATTCAGCATATCAGAAAATTAGAATCTTGTGAAAAGGTTCAAAATGGATGGCACCTGGTACCACACTCTAATCAGCTAATTAACTCAAACCACCTGCAAAGGCCTTTAAATGGTCTTTCAGTCTAGTTCTATAGGCTACACAATCATGGGGAAGACTGCTGACTTGACAGTTCTCCAAAAGACGACCATCGACACCTTGCACAAGGAGGGCAAGACACAAAAGGTCATCGCTAAAGAGGCTGGCTGTTCACAGAGCTCTGTGTCCAAGCACATTAATAGAGAGGCGAAGGGAAGGAAAAGATGTGGTCGAAAAAAATGTACAAGCAAGAGAGATAACCGCACCCTGGAGAGGATTGTGAAACAAAACCCATTCAAAAATGTGGGGGAGATTCACAAYGAGTGGACTGCAGTTGGAGTGAGTGCTTCAAGAACCACCACACACAGACGTATGAAAGACATGGGTTTCTGCTGTCGCATTCCTTGTGTCAAGCCACTCTTGAACCACAGACAGCGTCAGAAGCGTCTTGCCTGGGCTACAGAGWAACAGGACTGGACTGCTGGTGAGTGGTCCAAAGTCATGTTCTCCGATGAAAGTAAATTTTGCATTTCCTTTGGAAATCAAGGTCCCAGAGTCTGGAGGAAAAGAAGAGAGGCACTTCATCCACGTTGCTTGAAGTCCAGTGTAAAGTTTCCACAGTCAGTGATGGTTTGGGGGGCCATGTCATCTGCTGGTGTTGGTCCATTGTGTTTTCTGAGGTCCAGGGTCAACGCAGCCACATACCAMGAAGTTTTAGAGCACTTCATGCTTCCTGCTGCTGACCAACTTTTTGGAGATGCAGATTTCATTTTCCAACAGGACTTGGCACCTGCACACAGTGCCAAAGCTACCAGCACCTGGTTGAAGGACCATGGTATCCCTGTTCTTAATTGGCCAGCAAACTCTCCTGACCTTAACCCCATAGAAAATCTATGGGGTATTGTGAAGAAGAAGATGCAATACACCAGACCCAACAATTCAGAAGAGCTAAAAGCCACTATTAGAGCAACCTGGGCTATCATAACACCTGAGCAGTGCCACAGACTGATCGACTCCATGCCACGCCGCATTGCTGCAGTAATACAGGCCAAATGAGCCCCAACTAAATACTGAGTGCTGTACATGCTCATACTTTTCATGTTCATACT